ACGATGTGGCCAGGAAGTAGACTCATCTTTCTTCAGGGAAGTTGCTGGTCTTTTCCGACTGTGGACCTTGCAGTCAGCAGCCCCGTGTGTAACCATGAATGCCACAGCTGATCTTCATGCTGCGGTTTCATGATCTTATACTTCTTTAGTTTCTTTGAGCACCCAGGAAGAACTTACATTTTTTTTCTTCTAATAAATTCTATTTTGGCTTGGAATTATCTTTCTAAAGTGGCTGGGCTTTTGGACTCTGCTTCATCATTCAGCATGTAGATGATAATCTTCAATTACTGTGTCGTGCCACCAGATCCCTCCCCGAATGCATGCTGATTTCTATTGATTTAACAAATGGAAGCGCCTACACAGGCAAATGTGCATGTTTTTCTCCAGATGAGTGTTTAAGGCCTGGAGATTTCAAAGATGCATTTAGTTTTAACAAAGGAGGAACCCCGAGTACAAAGAATCTTGAGATTTGAATGAAAGTGGCAGATCGAGCAGGATAAAGAGGGAATACTAAATACTGCGAGTGGCCAGAGTTTGGAAGAGTTGTTTTGGTATCATTTTTATTTGAGAAACGTGTCCTACAGAAATGTTTGAAAACCACTGCCGCCCAGTCGATTCCAGTGCATATCCACCCTAGCACAGAGCTTCTGATACAGTAAATCTTTAACAGAGTAGACAGCCTCCTCTTTTCCTCAAGAAGTGGCTGGTGGGTTTGAAACCTTGACCTTGCAGTTAGCAACGTCTAACTTCAAATGGGTCCATTGCTTATTGAAGAGCAAGGCCAGCTTTTCTTTTTGCCTTACTCTTTCACGGTTAAAATACTTATGCTATCTATCACACAGTAAAGGGCATGGAGACAGTACGGTTATCTTGGCTTAACCAAAACAGTCTGTGAAGCTTGAAAAACCAAAACCAAACACAGCACAAATCACAGGAAGGCCCCTTTTATGGAGTGAGAGTAGGAAACCAAGAGGTGCTCTGGACAGTAAATACTAGTTAGCGTGAAAAATGTTACAAATGTCTTTGTAGTAATGCTTCTCCTTGAGACTGTAAACCTTGGGATCTGGAGAGACAACTTCAAAAGGATTTCTTGTGCGTTAAAGGATTGTAAGCGCTGTGGGGAAGCAGGAGCACAGAAGGGAAGAAGGAAGTCAGCACGCAGGAGAATCAGGGAGAGAAGGAGGCACTTTGGGCAGTCCAGGGCTACAGCGGGACCTGAACTGCCCTCCCCTCAGTCAGGGAGGATTTCAGCAGAGGTCTGGGCAGGAGGTGTGCTGCTGTATTCTGCCTGAGGCTCTACTGCATCCAAGGCTGCAGCGGTCTAGGTAATTCAGAGGAAGGATTCCTTTTATATCTCACAATGAGTAGGGCATGTCTGAAGCGGTGCAGCAAATCATTTCATAATGCTTTCATTTCTGTAAGATGAACGCAGACGACTTCTTGTTTTCCATTCCCTAGAATCTTAAAAATCCATCAAAGGTGACAGTCATTCCAAAGCTCCACAACAGCAGGTTGCCTTTGCCAACGTCAGAACGGGACTGATTAAGGGACCGAGCCAGTTTGACAACTTTTGGCTACTTGGGCTTATAAGGAAGCTGATTAATACTGGGGTGTCTACAAAGAAAAGAGCCTGCAAGACATGATTATTCATTCACCAAGCAAACAGTTGAGCCTCCCTCCCAGTGGGGTTCCAGTTGGGCCGCAAGGTGCAGCCCACCAACGAACGGTTCCTCTGGAGAAAGATGAGGCTTTTTGCGTCTCAATATCCCATAGCCTCGGAAATCCACAGAGGCAGTTCTAATCTGCCTATAGTGCTGTTTTGAGTCAGCATTGACTCATCGGCAGCCACTCTCCTATAGCCCAGAGGAATGCTGGAGGCATCATGGGTAAACGCTTGGCGAACAGAGATGACAGTGGTTCAAACCGACCAGGGGATCCATGGGATAAAAACCTGGCAACCTGCTTCCATAAAGGAACACCTGATAAAAACGCCTGACCCACTGTCAGGGAGTCCATTCTGACGCATAGGATCCTGTAGGACAGAGTCGAACTGCCCCCCGCGGGTTCCTGAGACAGTTAACGCTTTTCAAAAGCCAAACTCACTACCATCGTGTCGGTGGGAGGGATCCTGTAGGACAGGTACCCTGTTTCCCCGAAATAAGACAGTGTCTTATATTAATTTTTGCTCCCAAAGATGCACTAGGTCTTATTTTCAGGGGATGTCTTATTTTTCCATGAAGAAGAATACGGTACACATTTATTGTTTATTGTTTTATTAAAAGAGACCTCTGACTTCCTGTCTGCTCCAGCTGCGCTGCGGCCAACAGTGAGCTGTGCGGTGGTGC